CCCCGGGGTGCCTGGCGAGCTTCCCACGCCGCCCCGGCGCTAATTGTTTTTCCCGGCACGGGGAGACAGGTCGGGACACATGTGCCCCATCGCGCCGGGCCCCGCGCGTGCCGCCTATCGCCGGGATCTTGTCCCGCGTCCAGCGCTTTCTTCCCCAATCTTCCCTCCTCGCCTTGGCACGGGAACGGATCCTGTTCCTCCCTTCCCGTGGGGCGCAGGCGGTGGCGGGGGGCCAAGGTGCGCCGGGGCGTGCTCGGCGCACACCGAGTGCCACGGGGAACGATGCCGGGCTCCCCGGCGCTGCCGTGCCGGGGTGGGCTCTGCCAAGCCCATGCCCGTCCCCAGGCATGGGGTGAGGGATTCCCCGTGTTCCACTTCCCGGCGGCTTCTCCAGGAGGGCGCCGGGGTGGCCGGGAGACAGCCTCTGCCGCCGGGGCTCCCCGTTCGGGTGCTTGGGGCTCCTTGCCCGTCTCGCTGGGCTGTCGCGGGGCCGCCGTCGCCGGGCCCTAAGTACTAACGCGGCAAAGGCATCCATACATCTGCTCCGGGCTGCGGTGAATCATCCCCCAGCAATGCCCGTGCGCTGCCCAGCCAACCCGGCTGCCCCGCGGCACCCGGCCGGGAGGAGGGACGGTGCTCTGGACTAGCCGGGGTCATGAGGACACGGGGGAACAGAGCTTGAGGCTGAGCCAGGGTCATAGGGACACTGGGGGCAGCGCTCGGGGCTGAGATGGGTGATGGGGACAGGGATATGGTGCTCAGGGCTGAGTCAGGGGCATGGGGACACACAGGGACAGTGGTTGGTCCTGAGGCAGGGTGACAGGGACAGTGCTCAGTGCCAACCTGGGCTAAGGAGGAGATGGGGACAGTGCTCAGGGCTGTGACAGGTACACGGTGCTCAAGATCAAGCCAGGGTGATGGGGAAATGGGAACATGGTGCTCCAGACTGACCCAGGGTTATGGTGACACCTGTGCTCAGGACCTACCCAAGGTGATGGGGACACATACAGTGCTCAGGATGGAGCTGTGTTGATGGCAGGCAGTCGAGCGTGGCGTGCCCAGGCTACGGGGTGGGACACGAGCCAGCGGGCAGCGTGTGGGCACCGGCTGCCCTGCAGATGGCCCGGAACCGGCAGGGGACTGGCAGATGCCACTCAGGCACAGCGGTTTCTCTGCCAGGAAGAGGTGGGAACGATCTGTTTCCTCTCCCGGGAGGCCACCCCGGCCCCCAGCCGCTGACACCCCTGGGTGGCCTTGGGGTGTTGTGGCACTCTGGGTCGGTCCCACACCCCGTGGGAGGAAGCTCCAAGTGAGCCGGCGGCCGCCGTGTTTCACTTCCACGCCGGGTCGCCCACGCAGGGCCTGGGGCGAGGAGGAGGAGGAGGAGGAGGAGGAGGAGCGGAGGAGGAGCCGTGGGCCGCAGCCGTCCTCCGCCTTGCACCCCAGGAGCCATTTGGCCCCAGTGACCAGCTCCCGGCAGCAACAACCCCGGCTCCGGCCGGCTCGCCCAGGTAGGGATGGTGTGGTGGCACCGGGAAGGGCGGTGTGCGGGCAGGGGGGTGCTGTCACCGGGGCTGGGTGACTGTCCCTGGTCCCCAGTCCCCAGCGGTGCTGCAGGCTCAGGGTTTCGCTCGATGGTTCACTTCTGCTTCTGCTCAGTGACGGTCCCCAGCTACCCCCGGCCCCATCCCATGGCTCTCTCCTGCACTGGCCAGACAGCCGGGCTGGCTCTGGGTCTGACTGTACGTGGGGATTGTCACCACTGTCCCCTTGGGACGTGTTTGGCACTGGGACAGGCACCAGCATTTCTGGGTCATGTTGGGCTGGGCGGGTAGAGCTGTGGTGTGGCTGGTGTGGTGGGTGCATCCTCAAAATCCTCCATCCCTCTGCCAGAGGGGTGAGCTCCCTTGCGCCGGATCCAAAGCCACTCTCTCCCCATCCCATGCCCAATTCGATGTGGTGGCAAACCGTGGGAGTGGGAGCAGCACAGCGGGAGCTCCTCTCCTGGCTCATCCTCTCCCAGCACCCTCCACCCTTGGAGCCTTATTACAAGCTTCCCTGGGAACTGGCCAATTAACCCCGCATCAGTAATTAAATGCATGGAGGAGACCACGGACCTGGGATTACTTGTCCCTGCCTGGAAAATAAGAGCATCTGTGATGAGCCCTGGAACAGGTCTGGCTGCAGGAGCCATTTGCCCCAGAGCTCCGTGGGGATGCCGAAGAGCTTCCACGTGGCCACCCGGCTGCTGGCCATTGCCAGTAGGGCTTTTTGGCACCAAGGGCTGGGGCAGTGGGGGCTCTGACCCTGTGGGGGAGGCATTTGTGGCTGCAGCATCCAGTGTCACCCCTCAGCTCCACCAGACGTGTCCTCCAGCTGTGGTTGTCTCCTTGGTGCTGCCACTGGCACAGCACAGGGAGATGGCTGAGCCCCTGCATGGGTGCTGCACTCTGGGGACCACCCTGGGGAGTTGAGGGGTGCAAGCACTAAATCCTGCCTGCTCCCTGCCTGCAGTGTCCAGCCATCTGGGATAGCTCCAGGCAGTGGCTGCATCACTTGGTTCTGGATCTGTCCTGGCAACTTCCAGGGCTGGCAAGGACCAGGAAGTGGGGCCAGGGTGGGTGTGCAGGGGGGCCAGTGTCCCCCAGGAGCAATGGTCTGTCCGGATGAGCATCTCTCCCAGTGGTTGTCAGGGTCCCCTTCCTGATGGGGACATCCCATCCCACCTCCCTGCCTGCCTGTGGAGCAGCCCATCAGGAGGGGCAGTGCTGGATGGGTGGATCCCCACAAGAGTGGGCACCCTGCCTGCTATCAGCACCCCCATCTGGGTGTCACTGCTGTCACCAGGAAATCTATGGCTGTTTCGCCACTTCCGAGGAATACCCCGACCCACGGGGGCATGGGGCAGCTGGCACGTGTGACACTGCTGTCCCCCACCCTGCCATTGCCCTGGCAAGGTGCCCACCCAGTGGGCACAGGGTGCTGGGTGCCCCCCCCACCAGCTGTTGCCATGGCAATGGGTGTGTTCAGCTCCATCGTCTGGTACCCCAGATTGGCTCAGGTTGGCCCCTGCCCACATGTCCCTGGTCCCCTGGCTGTGTGGCACACAGACACGGCCTCGGCAGGACACCTGGCAGCCTGGGCCATCACAAGCTGCCACTCCGGCCTCGCTGGTGCCAAGAGCTGGCTGGCACATATGGGGGAGGCTGTGGTGTGGGGGGACGCAGGCGCCGTGGGGCACTGCGGCAGTGGGGGGGTGGCACGGCCACCACCCCTCATCCCACCCTGCTGTGCCAGGGCTGGGCACGGGTGCTACTGGGGTGGTCCCTGGTGCCAGGGAGTGCGTGGGTGCCAGCGGGGATGGTACCCACAGTCAAACACTCCCCTTCGGTGCCACTGCAACTACCCACGAGGGCGATGGGTGCTGTGGCGGGGAGTAGGGGTGTCCCTGTGCTGTGGGGGTGGTCTGCATCCACGCTGGCCTGGCTGGAGGCTGAGGTGGGCACAGTCGGGTGGGCACAGCGGGGTCGGTGCCTTCCGCACTCAGCAGTCAGCCGGCAAACTGGGCACAGGGGCTTGGCTGTGGCGGGGAGGGGGCTGCGGGAGGCGGGATATTGCCATGCTGGTCATGCGTGGGAGCGGCAGCCGAGCCGGAGCCGGTTTGGTGCCAGCCGGGAGCTGGCGGAGGGAAGGGGGCCGGGCTGCGGCGCTGCTGGGGCTGGGGATGCTGATGGCACCCGGGGGAGCCCCCCCGACCGCAGCGAGGAGCTGAGCGAGGGCACCGCGGCGCCGAGGTAGGACCTGAACAATGGCCGTGCTGGGAAGCAGGAGGAGGAGGAGGAGGAGGAGGAGGCAGAAAGGGATTGGAGGCCCCCAAAGCTGCCGCACAAAGGGCTGCAGCGGGCACAGGGCTCCGGTGGCCCCCAGGCTGGGGCATGCTCTGGGCACGGTCCCCCGGACAAACCCCGTGTCCCAGGGCTCAGGTTGTGCCGGTGCCTGCGCTGCGCTCTCCGACACCCCCAGTGCCCCTTGCCCAGCAGTGACCGATGCCTGGGTACAGTGTGGGATGGCTCTTCCTGCCCCAGGCCGGGAGTCCTCTGGCTGTGCCGGGGCCGGAGCGGTGCTTCAGGAGGTGGCCTTGGCATGGGCGGCGGCACAGGCCGGGCAAAGGAAGCTGGCCATGACCATGCTGCCCGATGCCACATCGCAGAGCAACTGGCATCCAGTGGCAGAGCCACCTCGAAGATGCCCCTGGCACCTCCTTAGCACCCTCAGTGTGCCGGGGGTGGCGTGCTCGTGTTGCCAGGCTGAGCCTCACCGGCTGCCAGGAATGTGCCGGGGCTGTGTGCCCGCCGGCGTGGCTGCTGCTCCGGCAACGGTGCCGGCGGAGGGGTGGGCACCAGGGGCTCCGGGCTCACCTGCCTTTGCCCACCCGTGCAGGGAGCAGCCTGGAGCCCGAGGAGAGCAGCATGGAGCCGCCGGCCGTGCCGGAAGAGGAGGTGCCCGTCACCGTAGCGCCTGGCCCGGTGGGCTGCCAGCTCTTTGGATATGTGGGAATTGAAGCTGTGCTCGACCAGATGAAAATCAAAACCATGAAGACGGGCTTTGAGTTCAACATCATGGTTGTGGGTGAGCATTGGGTCCAGGGTTTGCTCCTGGTTGGAGTGGGAATCCTGGCTCTGATTCTGCTATGCCAGGGGAAATTATGCTTTTAAGGGGTTTTAAGGAAATCTAAGGGATTTAAAATTATTTAAGTAGCAAAGAATTGGAGTAACATCCCATACCCCAACATCCCATATCAGCATAACATAGTGATGCTGATAGGTGAGCTCATCCCAACCTCTGGGATTCTCCCAAATGGATACCAAGGTGTTATAACCTTGGGAATAAATTTATATGGGAGATAAACCAGACTATTCCAACCTCTGGGATGTTCCCAGATGTCTACCAAGGGGTTATTGCCTTGGGGAATAAATTTACTTGGGGGAATAAGATGGGCTATCCCAACCTCCGGAATGCTTCCCAATGGATAATGAAGTATTATGGCCTTGGGGAATAAATTTATTTGGGAGGTAGATTGAACTAGCCCAACCTCTGGAATACTCTCTAATGGATACTGAGGTGTTACCACCCTGGGGGACAAACCAGAGCTGCCGGTGTCCCCTCAGGGCAGAGTGGGCTGGGCAAGTCGACGATGGTGAACACCCTCTTCAAGTCCAAGGTGAGCCGCAAATCCTCGCAGCCTGAGCAGGAGGAACGTATTCCCAAGACAGTGCAGCTCCAGTCTATCACCCATGGTAAGGTTATCACCATGGGGACATGTCCCACCAACACCTGAGAAACAGAGGACCAGGGGGAGGTGTGAGGGCAGCCTCTGACCGCCCTCCCCCAGTCCCCTCCTTCTCCCAAATGCTTCATCCCCCCTGACCCACCTCTCTGCCCCAGTCATCGAGGAGAAGGGGGTGAAGATGAAGCTGACAGTGACGGACACGCCGGGGTTTGGAGACCAGATCAACAATGAGAACTGGTAGGACACAGTGGGATGCAGCAGCCCAGCTTGGTGCATGACTGTTTGGGGTGGGGGTTGAGCTCAGATGCTGTCCCCCAACTCGTCCTCAGCTGGGACCCCATCATCAAGTACATCAACGAGCAGTACGAGAGGTACCTACGGGAGGAGATCCTCATCACCCGTAAGAGGAAGATCCCAGACACTCGAGTCCATGGATGTGTCTACTTTGTCCCCCCCACAGGTCACTGGTGAGTCCTCACTTGCAGCACCTATGGGGTGATGGGGTCACTCTGAGGTAATGGTGGTGAGGTCATCCTGGGATGGTTGTGTCACCCTGGGGTGATGATGGGGGGTCACCCCGGGGCAATGGTGGTGATTCCACCCCATGGTGACAGTGGTGGGGTCACGTGAGGGTGATGGTGTTGGGGTCACCCCATGGTGACAGTGGTGGGGTCACGTGAGGGTGATGGTGTTGGTCCTTGGCAGGCTGCGCCCACTGGATCTGGAGTTCATGCGGCGGCTCAGCAAGATTGTCAACGTGGTGCCAGTGATCGCCAAAGCTGACACACTCACCCTGGAGGAACGGGCAGAGTTCAAGCAGCGGGTGAGGACAGGTCCTGGGGCACTCCTAGGGTGCCCCCTGTATCCCCAGCCCAGCTCAAGTCCTGTATCCCACAGATCCAGGAGGACCTGAAGACCCACGCCATCAGCGTGTACCCACAGGAGGACTTTGACCAGGATCCTGAAGACAGGGCACTGAATGACAGGATTCGGGTGAGTGCCAGGATGCTGGGATTGGGGGTGCCAACCCTGGGGAGAAGGGTGGGCAAGAGACCCTCTGGGGCAGCCCAGAGCACCCGGGGTGAGCACAGCACTCTGCACTGGCAGGAGAAGATCCCCTTTGCCGTGGTGGGGGCGGACCAGGAGCACCAGGTGAATGGCAAGCGAGTGCTGGGCCGCAAGACCAAGTGGGGCATCATCGAAGGTGAGCGGAGCCCTTTGCACCTCCAGCCCTCCCCAGGCGTGGGGGGCCCGTGGGGCTGCAGGGAGCAGCACCCAGGGGTGTGTCCCTGCCTGGGTGTGTGCTGAGATGTGTCATGGAGCCATGCTGGTGCTCCAGTGGTACCTGGAGCATGTTGGGATGTGCTCCCTGGGCATCTGCCCACCACCATGCCCTCCTGCCCGCCCACTACCCACCTGCTGCCCCTCTGCCTTGCTTTGCAGTGGAGAACCCAGCACACTGCGAGTTCCCCCTGCTGCGGGACCTGCTGATCCGGTGAGTGGGGGACCGGGTAGGGGATGCTGGAGTTCCTGATGTGACAGCAGGGCAGACTGGACAGTGACATGATGCCCTTCCTCCCCTTGCCACCCTGAGCAGGTCACACCTGCAGGACCTGAAGGACATCACCCACAACGTCCACTACGAGAGCTACCGCGTGCGGCGGCTGAACGAGAGCAACCGGCCAGTGCTGAGCCCCCTCAACGGGCTGCCTGGCAAAGGTGAGGGTGGCAGCCACCTCTGAGCCACCTCATGCCCCCCAGAGCCACCACTGGACCCCGCAGCAGTGCCCACTCCTGCCCACCATGGCTGTGCCCAGACCCTGCCTGGGGTGAGGAGCCCATGTTAATTTGGGGTGAGGTGACCCCTGACAGTGCCCAGCTGCCCCGATGTGGGTCCCTCGTCCCCAAGCTCTGCCATGGGCACAGACCCCATGGACCCCGTGTGACATTAAAGGTCAGGCTGGAGCCTTCAGCCTTTGCCATCAACCTCCTGCTGCTGCACTCTGCACTTCTGATGTGCCACCACTCTCCTGTGCTGCTCCGGGATGAGACTCCCCCAGGCACCCTGGGCAGGTGGGGGTGCTGCCCGTGGGGTGTGCCGGGGTGGGCAGGGTGCGGGTGCCCTCCCCATGGTCACCTCACCCGTCCTGCCCTGTGATAGCAGCTGGCACAGGTGGACTTTGAGCCACTTATCAGGTTGTGGAGGTGCCAGGAGGGGTGTGGAGGTGCCAGAGGTGTGTGGAAGTGTCAGAGGGGTGTGGAGGTGTCGCCTGCAAGGGTGTGAGGGGGCTACACCCAGCTGTGGCCCCCCCCGCCAGAGGGTTCAGCCCCCAACCCCTTCAGGTGGGCCCAGTGGGTGCTGCCCCGCTGGCATCCAACCCTGGCACTCTGTGGGGATGGGGTGTCCAGGTGGTCCCCCCAGTACTCCTGGGGTGCATGAAAGGCCCCTTTGTGCCTCCTGCTGTGGGCAGGGCTGGGGCACGGTGCCAGGACGGTGGCACAGGGTGTTTCCTGCCTGCCCCAGCCCCGCCGTGGGGCTCGGCATCACCGCCAGCACCGGCACCCTTTGCCCGGCCCCGCGTTAATGATCCACCCGCCGGCGTGGCCGCCAGCCCCCAGCAGCCACCGGGCCGGCCGTGCGCGGTGCTGGTGGCAGCAGCTGGGGGTCCTCAGCACAAGTGGCTTGGAGGGGCTGGCAGCTCCCTGCCCTGTGCCCCACCCCTCGGCCCCAGCGCCCAGATAAGAGCGGCTGCCGGCAGCACCGGTTCTGGGGCGTGCGGCGTGGCCGGGAGCGCCGGCGGGACCATGGCGAGGGTGAACCTGCTCGCCCTCACCTCCTGGGTGGGCATCGCCCGGCTCTGCGCCGTCGTGCTGTCCTGCCTCACCTTCAGCCTGGTGGCCTCCACGGGGAGCTTCGGGGGTCCCTTTGGGACGTGGTGCATGTTCACCTGGTGCTTCTGCTTCATCGTGACGCTGCTGGTGCTGCTGCTGGAGCTGCTGGAGCTCTACCCCATGCTGCCACTCTCCTGGGATGATTTCACCTCGGCTTTCTCCATGCTGGCGGTGCTGATGGTCTTCACCACCTCGGTGGTCTTCCCTGCCACCTTCATCAGCAGCCCCTGCAGCAGCAGCAAGTGTGCCCGGCAGGCCGTGGCCACCACCACCTCCTTCCTCTGCTTCCTCGCCTACGCCGTCGAGGTGGGACTGACCCGTGCCAAGCCCGGGGACATCAGCAGCTTCCTCTCCACTGTGCCTGGGCTCCTCAAGGTCTTCGAAGCCTACGTGTCTTGTCTTATCTTCTCCTTGCTGGATGAATACAATAAGGAACCCGGCCTGATGTGGTGTGTGGCTGTCTACTCCATCTGCTTCATCTTCACCCTCCTCATCATCATCTTCACCATCGGCCGGTGCCTCGCCTACATCCCCTGCCCGCTGGACAAGGTGCTGGTGGGGTACAGCTTCCTGGCCCTGCTGATGTACATCACTGCCACCGTCCTCTGGCCCCTCTACAGCTTCAAGGGGAAGGGCCGTCCCAGTGACTGTGGCAGGGGCTGCCCGTGGGACAAGCACCTGGGGGTCACCTTCCTCACCATCTTCAACCTCATCGCCTACTTGGTGGACCTGGTCTACTCCAGCAGGATGGTCTTCATCAGGACACCTTCCTAAGCGCTCTGGGTGGGGTGAGGACTGGGTTGAGGGCTGAGTCCCAGCGTGGGGATGCCAGTGGAGCAGAGGAAGAGGCTGGATGCCTTGGAAAGCTCCTTCTCCCTGCACCAAAGCAGAGCTGTGAGGCACTCCCAGGGTGTGCTCAGCCGGGGGCCCCATGGGCTGCACAGGTAGGGGGCTGGGGGGGCCACAGGGGACTTCTGAAACTCTGGAGCTTGGGGGGGCTTTGGGATTAAATTGGGTAATTTTTCACTTGTTTCTGCCTCCTCTTTCTTCCCCTTCTCAATTTTCTTCAGGATCCTCCCAGGGGGATGAGAAACTGTGGGGCACCAGCAGCATTTGGGGCCACGGGTGACTCTGGGGGACAGCAGCAGAAGTATGGGAGGGCACCAGGCTTCAGCAAATACTCCTTCTCCTCCTTGTTGACTTGGCACCTGAGTGAAGCAGGGCATGACCAGGAAAAGCCCAACCCGGATGCCTTTTCCTTGGCACCTGCACGGGGCCCTGTCAAACAGGTTCAGGAGGAATGTGGCTGCTGGGGGGGTTCTGAGAGCCTGCCAGGTTCTTGTCACCAGCACTACGGGGTCCTTGTCACCGCCACAGTCACCCCAGCTGGAGCCCTGCTGGGTTTGGTCCCAGCCGCGTGGGCAGGAGCCCTGTGCCTGCTGTTTACCCTTTGGGGGTAAACTCCCCCTCCCTGGGGGAAAATGGGGCAGAGGGGTGGCTGTCACCCAGTGCCATCAGAGCTGGTGGTACTGACACATGTCACCAGGGGGATGGTGGCACTGCAGGCTGAGAAGAGGCAACAGTGCAGTGGAGGCAGGGGAAGGCGTGCCCGCAGGCAGAGTTCCTGGCACCGTGCTCCCGGATGTGGGATGGGTGCCCATGGGGCACCCCGGAAGGTTTTGGGGCCACTGTCCCCACGCTGTTCCTTATGCCACTGCTTGCCCTGGCCACAGCCCGGGGCCATCACTGCTGCCTCAGGACTACCAGAGCCATGTCAGGGTCTATCACTCCTGCCTTGGGGCTCTCAGGGTGACACAGAGTAGGGTCCCCACCATCAGGAGATGGCAAAAACCAGCCACCATGAAAGAGTCCATGGGTGCCCTGGTGCCTGGGCAGGTGGGACCTCTATGCTCTTTGCCAGGGCCACTGCACTGTGGGGTCACAGCACCTTCAGAGACAGCAATGCAGAGTGGCCTGGTGGGTGTCCCCATTGCCCGGTCCATGTCCCCACAGTGGCCATCACTATGGCACGATGGGCTGCTCCCCTGCACCCCAGGCAGCGGGGCTAGAGGGAACGGCAGAATTTTGGGGGGAAATAACAGGAAAATGGCAGTGGAGAGGCACAGCCTGGTGCAGCACCTGAGTGTGGATATTGATGATGCCCAAGATGATGGAAATTCCCAGAGGAAGGAGGCTGGGAAGCACGGGGAAGCTGGGAAGCAGGGGGAAGCAGTGGTGTGGCTGGTGATGAGCTGTGCCAGTAACACGTTTGGCTGGGGGTGGCACACAGGCAGTGCTGGCACGTGGGGTGTGAGGGGGCTGAGGGGGCAGGGGCTGGGCTGGCAGTGGGGTGCAGGTGAGTGGCTGGAGGAGTTCCCAGTGGGAGTCCAGCCCAGGAGCCCCGTCGGGGCTCAGTGCCTTGATGGGACCCCAGGGCACCTCCCAGCTGTGGCACAGAGTGGGTGCTGAGGGTCTCTGGGAGGACCTGAGACTTGGTGGGTGCAGGAAGCCCTGGTGCAGTGCTGTGCTGTGCCTTGCCAGGCGTGCCCCAGTGCCGGTCTGTGCTGTGCCACGGGAGCCCCGGTGCTGTGCCATGCCGTGCCAGAGGGCCTCTCGGTGCCGTGCCATGGGGCCGCGGTGCCGGTGCGGTGCCATTGCCAGTGCAGTGCCAGTGCTGGTGCTGCTGTCACTGCGG